CTATTGGCATAGAACAAGGGAACAGGAAAAATCAGAAGACTGAAGAAGGATTACTACAGATAGATCATGAGAAAGAGATGTCTGCAGAGTAACAGTTCATTTTCCATCCATGATTAGTACAGTTCTGATGACACTGCTCTTCCAACTCATACATTTCTAGTCAAAACTGCAATCATGATTCTTTCCAAAGGATGCTTCTTTGAAAAATTTTCCACTGGCAACAAGGGAAGATTGGGCTTTAATCTGGAGTTAGGATGGAGATTTTCAAGCAACACTCCTATTTCTGCTTATAAGCATTTATTCAGATCCTCTACATTGTGGACCTCTTCCACTACCAATTATGCTCATACTACAGTCTACAAAGTGCGATATTATATTTTTTAGAATTTTTTTCAGGAAAATGGTCAGTTTATCCTTCCAAGAATAAACAAACAAGGAGCGAGATGCATTGCCTGATCTTCCACCTAGTAATGGCAAATGTCCTGGATTTGTAAAATCTGAATTCTGCCCCTCAGGAGGCTGAAATATGTAATTCTGAGAGCTTCTGAAATAAGCAAAACCTGATTTCTGATGTGTCAGTGCTTTGAGGATGATAGGCTTTGGAGACTATAAAAAGATCAAACAGGTGTTTTTCTGTGGAAGGGTCACTTAGGGCTGCTGCTGCTGTCTAGCAAAATGGACCATTTCCTTTCAGTTCCAGGGACTAAGAGGAAATATTTTCCTACAAGTTAATTAACTGCTAGACTTTGATGCTTTGTGAAATTTCTTTGCAACCAACCATTGGCTCATGAACAGAAATACCACATAAGCATATTCACATGTACTCATGGACCAGTGCGTATTCAATACAACTGCTAAAGCTTTGGCTCTCTAAGAACTAGTTCTTAGAAGCCCACAGACTCAAAGCTTCTCACTGCAGATGAAAGTGCAGAAGTATACCAAAAGTTTGCTAAATTATCTCAGGCATTATTCAGAATAGACTATTTTTCTATTCCTCTGATGATCTTCAAAACATATTTGAAAAAGTTACATAAGCATTGTTTATAGTCATAGTTTCTTTCTTTCATAAAATTTAGCCATTTAAACCCCATACAATTGATTCATCCTTTTATATCAGGTAAATTTGCAATGAACTGGTGATTCTTCAGGATCTGCACCAGTGGGCTGCTTTCAGTTTAAACAGCTGTGTTGTTAAAATTTATTTTTACATACGACTTGAGGGTAGCCATTTGCTTCACAATTAAGTGCATAGCATCTACAAATGTTCAGCTAACCAGATTGTTAATTGGTATGTTTGCTTTATGTTTTCTTGTATAAATAGAAAATGTTCCTCCTGAAACTGAATAGTTCAAAGGTTCACATGTTATCTTCCTTGCATTCCTCAGTTACTCATTTTTTACTTTTCCCTGTCCTCAGTGTCCAGAGATATTACTGATAAAGGTTTGCATACCTCATCTTATCTCATCTATTCTCTGCCCTGATGAAAGCTTTTGCTTTTGTAGAAATCAGTACTCAATTTTTTCTCCAGAGGTGGCCAGCAAAAACTGAACTAACTTTAGAGCAAAACCATCAGTAACAAAGAAAGGAATCTCGTGAGTGAATAAATGTTATAAAATACACCACCTTACTACTATTATTTGTGATACTTAAGGTCAGTATTTGGCCTTGTTAGTTCTTGTGTATGCGCCTGAGATTCTCCATTGGTAAGTTACTTTTGTTTTCATCACTCCTAATATTTCTATCCAGTTCATCTGAATCCTCAAATTCCCTTAAGATTGTCTTTAGATAAAATTAGAAGCATAACTGCTTGATAAAAGGGAACATTCCTCTGTAAACATGCAATACAATGTCATCACTTCTGCCATCTGATTTCTGAGTGGAATTTAATATATCAGCTGTGAATAGCTTATGACTGGCTCCATAATGTGGGATTCATCTAACTAAATGTAGATGCAGCTGAGCCAGTCCCTCATTGTAGTCAGCAGAGACGAATAGGAACTTTTGGGGTTCGCTTCACCTCATGCCAAAGCAGACATAAGTAGACAAAGTAGACAGATGCTTGCATTGCAATCTGCCTTTCTTTATTTTTCTCCACTTAAAAAAACTGGAGCAATTGTACATTTTTTCTTTGCAAAACATAATGGAGAATTTAGGCTGATTAGCTCAGATGCCCATGCGTATTAAAAACTCTCAAATTGAGTTAGGATTACCATAACCAGAGACCACTTCTTTTTCTCTGAAATATGACTGGATTTTTAGTCAAGTTTCTCCTTGATGGCGCTGTCCTCAAGTGAAGGCTGTTGAAAAGTGGCCAGTAAATGGCCAAAACTCCGGACTTCATTCTAGCCTCTTGGGAAGCAGCCAGACATGCTGTCAAACTCATTAATTCCTGTGGAATTGTGAGAGGGTCAAGAGGTCTTTAGAAATCCATTTCCTAAGACACAATCTATGACTTTGATGTCTCAATCATGAGTAAAGGTCATTTATTGACATCACAAGAGAGAACGTCCAGTTCAGGTGTTCTTTTACTGACCACCTGCTTGACCTTGGTTTAGCCACAGAACATAAACGCTTCTCCACTGACACTGTGTAGGACTGTCAATGAACTCAATTAATATAAAGCAGTGTCAACAGCTACAATTGTTCATAAGCATGCATATTTACTTTACAAAGATCAGTTTTTTGGTTAAACTCTTGTTTTCTGTGTCACATTCACATACTTAAAGCCCTTGTCAGATGTCCTGTTTAAAGTCTAATATGACTTGTAGGTTACCTTCTCCTCAGGCTGACAATGCTCACCAGCAGCTGATGTGTCCCCAAAAGATTCATCAGCTTGGAAAGAATCTCTGGAAATACGCAGAACTTCTCAGCTAGCCTACATGTTTGGAGGCTGCCATTAACCAGTTCTGGCATATGAGCTAAACATAGCAGTGTTCAATAATGTACTGTTCAGAATGAAAATGGGAACACTGAGGACGATGCTGCATGTCAGCACACATGACGAAAAGGCAAAGGTCATGCTGCAAGGCAAAGATGATGAGCAGCAAGGCAGCTGACAGCAGCTCTGCTGACAGCATCCTCACACTCAGGACTGACATATTCAGCAAAGGTGGACTTGGCAGATGGCATCACCGGAAGCAGCACTTTTCATGGGAACAAACTTCAGAGTACTGTTAAAAAGGGCTGCTAGTCTCACTCTTGAGACCTAGGCTCAGTTTACTGAAAAACTGAAGTGATGAGGAGCCTGTAAAGTCCAACTGCAGTACTTATACCAAACAATATACTACTAAGATGATGTTTGGGAATAATAGGGTTTTGGTAAGAGTCTATTTTTATTTTCTTTCTTCCAAATTATCATGAGTACATCTTCCCCCACCTCTCCCTCAGATAATTATAGTATAAAATCAGTCTTCATAAGAAAAAAAGAAATTGCAAATTTATGGAAAACCACAAGATTAACAATTATTTATTAAAAATCATCATTAAAAATCGCATTTGAATTATGAAGCATTAAGCAATTAGCAAAATAATCTGAAGACTCTGAACTAGGGAAAATCCTGAAAACCAGAAATTCTGATAGACATTTTCAAAAATTTAGCTGGCCTACTGCATTAAATACAATGATCAAAAAGCAAAACCGGTAAGAAAAGAAACCTAAAGCATACTAAACACTCTACTGATTTATCCATTTCATTATGAGTTATCAGTAACTCAGTTAAAACCAGCACTTTTAAAAATTTTGCTGCATACTTACGTACATTTTAAAATTTGAAAAACTTTATTCGTAATAATAATACTTTGACATATTGATTCTGAGTATTTTAAAACTTGCAGCTTATAGTTTCTCTGATCTCTATGAATGCTGCGAATTGCTTGAAGTTAAGGTTGAATAAATAAATATTTTTGAATATTAGTTTATCTTAATTACTTTAAAGCAGAATGAACATCCATAAAAGGTGAATAAATGAACATTTAATTATGGAAATTTGGTACTGATTCCTACAAATCACTTCTAGAATGGGCATGTTCTTTTACTACTCTTAATTATTGTAATTAACTTTTGCATGTTAATTAGAATTGTTTTGGCATGGCAATTTCCACCCTTCTCTACATCTTTCAAAGTAGGTAAGCAACACATTCTTTATTTTTTTTCCTCTATCTAGTATATGTAAATAAGGAAAAGAACTTCCCAGAGTATGTTGAAATTAAAAAGGGGCATAATTCTATAAAGTCAAAATTAACATAAAACCAATTTAGAATTTTTTCTGTTAGAGCATTAAATATCTCAGCCAGAAACAGGAAAATTGAAACATTCTTGACATACGCCAGTAAAATAATGAAAAAATCTAAGAAGAAATAAGATTTTTATAGTCATAGATAGTATGACTAAGTAAAAAAAAAAAAAAAAAAAAGAGAGAAAGAGAAATCTAACCTTGTTTTAACCTAAGGTATGAGAAATAAAATACCCTAACTTGAAAAAAATACACTGGACTGTTTGCCAACGAATAGCTCACACACCAGCTAATGCTGTTCTCATTCTTACTTTAATTGCCCTGACAGTTTTATTTTTTGTAGCCCCTCCAATCTGTAAATTTTAAGTATTTCTCAGGAAGCCTGTTGGGAGACAGAATGTATAACATCATCACGCTGAGAATTCCACTCCCTGAGAGTTGCAGCAAACTGTAGGTTAGTGAAACTCTGGACATCTTAAATTAGAGTGGGAAACTCACAAGCCCTGGGACTGAGTACGGCCTGCAACTTTACTGCACATCACTTGGGATCATATAATTTTTTTCCTTCTACGTTACTTCTGGCTAACACTCAGCTAGGCTTTAATTTATGGCCTACCAGTGTGTCTGAAAGAGCTATTTGGCCCTCAGCAAGGGAGAGGATATTCCAGGTTTAATTGAGTACATAAAATTCTACTTTGTGCCCTCTTGAGTCTTCCATGGAAACTGTGGCTCAGTGAGGCGGACAGTAACTGTTAGGACTGTACTTACTGCATTGAAGTTGGGGAAGAGATTGACTGCTGCGGCAGTGTCCAGAGGAAACGGAAGAAATGGTTTAATATCCAGCGACGGCTGCAAAGGTGGAGCAGGAGGACGCACTAGGGCTGGAAGAGCAGGGCTCTGGCATGTACCACCTAAGTGCAGAAAGAGATAGAAGGCATTCAGCAAGTACTATGATTAGGGGGAAAAAAAAAAAGCCAACACAAAAAAAGCAACAATAAAAAGTCAATATCGGATTTAAAAAAATACCTTTTTATTTGTCCACAAATTACTGCATTACTGAAAAAGAGCACAGCTGACTCAGTGACTGTTGGTTATAATTCTTAGCTAGTAATTGCTTTAGGTATCAATTTATCATTATTTAAAAGTAGCTAATATACCATTTCTCTCCCTCGATTGTCTGGAACAATAGTTCAGTGTATGTCTGACTCCACTACACTTTCAGGTAGTCTCATTTTGCTATAATTTCAGGGTTTCATCCCAACCCTCCAAAGGCAAACTGCTCCAGAAGAAAAATAACAACAAATAGCTGTTCAACTCAGTGATGTCATTTGCGGACTTTTGATTTTTTAATTAAATGCTCACTCGTGGAGCTTACAGCTTCAGAGTCAAACTAAATTTCACAAACACAACATACCTTGTTGCCTCAAAAGTTGATCAATACAAATCTAAACTAAGAACAATTTCAGCCACCACCAAAATTCTGGTTTTGGAAAGGTTCTGACGAACACTTTCTGCTCTTGCAAGGGGTGGAACTGATTCACACTGTGCAGGAGAAAGCTCCTCCTGGATAATGCTATCAACCTCCAACTCTGTGGGAACATAATGCAAATGAAGAAATCCCCTTGCATACCAATAAGTCACTACCTGTTCGCAGCAGACCCTATTTTACTTATTTATTTGTGCCTTGCCACAGTCAGCTAAAAGCTGGAAGGATTCAAGCCTGTTCTGTGCTTCCAATGTCTCCCATGTTTTGGTTGCACTCCAAAACATCAATTCCCTGTTAATTAAAGACTATTTGGATCCTAGGAAACTGTTAAAATATGCCAGTGTTGTTCTAATCTGAGAGGCAGGCAACAGACTGTAAAAACCTGCTGGTAAGAGCCCAAGAAACATTTTTTAAAAACGTAAGGGGAGATTTACCCCACTGATTGAACAGAGATGCAGGCCGACAGACCAACAGAGGAAGAGAACCTAAATCTGTTTCTTTCTTTCTTTCTTTCTTTCCTTTCATACATACAGACAGTTCATTAGACAAGCTGCATATGTTGTTTAAGAGCCCAAATATAAAGTAGTCAGAATGATATATGGAATTTCTCCATATTTGGCCAGCAAATCTGCTAACAAGGTTTGCAATTTAATGCATCTAATTGAGGCCTAACAGCACAGGATTTAATTAACCAGTTGTAGCAGATCATCCACAGTCCTCTTTTGGGTATAAAATTAGTTGGAGCCAAATTTTCGAAGACAGTATTTTTTTGCTAACTTTCAGCTCCTCTGTGAAGCATTTCACTAAGAATCATCGAAAGGAAAACATTACCCAATAGTAAACTAAAGGTATTGGATTAGGGTTGACTCCAATCTCACACTAGTTTTTGCCCTAGAGCAACTGCCATTTTTGGAGAGATTTCTACATTTACTTTAACGTAAGGGCATACCAAATCACTCTTTGAATAGAGCAGCTAAGGATATGGGCAACAGAAAAGCAGAGGACAAGCATATCTCCTTTCTATACCTCACCAGCATAGAATCATCAAGTATTTAATGATTGCCATTGGTTTGGTAATTGTTACATTCCCATGGAATTATTACAAAACAGTGTAAAAATAAATTTAACAGGTCAGAATGATAAGTTAGTGTTGAACAGGACAATCTCTGAATAGGAAAGACCCATAAAGGTATTTTTTTAGATGCTAGAAATACTTAATTTTTCTAACATGAAGCTTTTACAGACGATGAAGGGAAGTCAGTCCTACTAATAAAAACCTTACTAAGACATCTTCAGGCTGCACCTGAGATTGTAGAGAATCACATAAAAATGTCTCGGTGAGCATTTGCCTGGCAATAGTAAAGAATTTGAAGCTGATTAAACATCCTACAACTCACAGATGCAAATGCATACTGGACTGAGAAATATCACCTATGCTTGGGGACCCAGCTTGTTGAGTGTATTATCTCAGTGCGATGGAGGAGAGCCTCGCAGGTTTGGATTACCTAGAGAAACAGCATTGCTATCCCATACTCTTCTAGGATACCATGCGACAAAGGATGAAATATTTCTATTCTGTGATCCTTCCCTGTGGCATGACTAGGCATTCACCCACCTGCTGCTGCCAGACAGGGCTACACAAAGTCATTTGGGGATGAGAACACACTTTAAAAGGAAAAATTCGGCCAGCTCTGCAGGACCTTGGCTGGGACTCAGAGCCTCTGGAACAGAGTATAAAAATCTACCAGAGTCCTGGCTACAGCAGCACAGAAAATTAGTATGTTCAGGAGCACAGCTGCTCTCTGTTTTTGCAATATGTCAGACATGTCCCTTAATGGTGGAGCATGTGACAGGTATCATGAAATTTGAGCTTTTGCTTGAAAGCAACTATCTAATGTTTATGGCTGCAAAAATTAGTTTCTCTTTCTATTTAACCTGTTCAGAGTTGCAGTCTAGAATCAGCAACAGAAAACCTGAAGCAAAGGCAAAGATTTTTGCGACTCAAGGGAAAAACTTTGGACAACATTTGGAAATGTAAATTTTAACTATTTCCCATCTAATCCATTAGCAGAGGGATGGAGTGTGGTAGAAGTCCAGTGGGAAAAGTTCCTGAAGAACACATGTACATAAGTCCTTATCGTAAAGAAGGATATCAAGGGCAGAAATGATGACAGAAGGAAAACATGAGAACCGAGAAAGCCAGATTGAAGGTAAAGAATGAGAGGTGCACTAACACTCATGAAGCTGATTTCACATTGTAAATAGCAGTGCTATGTGTGACAACTGCACACTTAGAAAATTACTATAGCAAGACATAGGTCCTTTTTAGTTATCCAGTGTTACTGAACGCTGGATCAGGGTGAGGAACCATGAAGATTGCTTATGACTCTTTTGGTATTCTGTATGATAAGCTTCTGAAAGACCTCCATAGCTTTCCCTGTGTGATGCAACACTGCTGATCAACACACAACTAAGTCTTAATATCAGCCTTTTTACAGACTTTCTACCAGCAAGGTTTGGAGCTCCACGCTAGGATAACATCCCACACCACTGACAGACTTTGTCCACAGCCTGTGTTTGATGCTCTGTATTACTACCTGAAGTTCACATAGGCATCCTTGCCGAAAACTAGGTGCATGCATGGCTTGACTTGAGATGTAACAGTACCCCCAAAATGCAGGGCAGTACAGGTCTAAAGTTACACGTTATGAGGTGTGTGCTACAATTTCTTAAAATAGGAGGATACTAACATATTTACTAATACAGTGTTACTTACCAGTGTTACAAGCTAGTGATGTTAGTCTAATGTCTTTCTAAAGAGGAAGGGTCTTTCCAGCCCATTTAGATCCTAAATGGGAGATGAATGTTCCAAACAGTTGGGAAATTCATGTCAATGTTTTTACCTTAATCTTCTTTGTAGGAAGCACTAGAATAATACAAGTTAGAAGATTAATTAGCTCATCATTTTAACCAAGATCGAAGTAATCATTTCTTCAATTTTCAGAGAATTTAAAAGGCAGGCAAGATAATCTCTTGGCCAGAGGCACTGGCAATACATCCAAGCTAAGCGTGAGCTAACAAGTTTGAAGAAAAGCTTGCCACAAAACTTTGCCCCTTCCTATATCTCACTGAGGCAGTTTTTGAGAACTCTCCCAGTGTCAATCAAGCTGTAAATTTTTACACATGGATGCACTTTTGCATCTCCAGTTGGAACTAGACATTTTGCCCTACACTAGGGTAATCTGTTTGGCAATACAGCATTATGCTCTGAGCACAGGCAGCCTACGTGGTACAAATCCGCATGCGCAACATGAGATTTATGCTCTTTGTGACATAGCCTACTGAAGTGGTTCTCCTTCAGAAACTACTGGTGATATGAACTTATCACTAGAACACCTTTCTTGCGTGTACCCAGTATCAAGGGAAGACAACAGAAACATTCAGATGAAAAGATGACTCCTGCAGGTTAAGCCTCAAACTGTTCATTCCATAAGGAGTCATCACATTTTATTTGTTTTGTACTGGAATGTCAATAAATACTGTGTTCCCCCCCCAGTTTGATTTAGAGAACATGTTTCACTACAGAATTGAAAATAGATTTAAAAATGATAAGTCATTACAACAAGAAGAAATCAGATTATTTAAAAACACTAAAGTTTTGACTTTATCTTAAAGACATTTTTGTCAGATTTATTTACAAAACATTAACACCTTATGGGTCAAATTTTTGCTTTCAATGAACCAGCATTTCCTGATGAGAAAGCCTCCCATGCAAATTTTTGTGCCCAGTTCACCTGAAATATCCCTCAGATCAGTGCTAGGTAAAGAGCTTCTTTACCGCCTCTAAAATCTGGATTAAGAGAAGCAAAAAGACTGAATATGCACAAAGGAAACAAAAGAAAATAGTCTTAGAGTAAAGAGACATGACAAAGCAGGGTGTTTTTTATATACAAGATAATAAATAATAAGTTCTCTTAACGTTTCTGGAGGAGGTCAAGATCCCTGTCCCTCAGGTCCCCTAACAAACAGCTCAACAAATTGGCAACTGCATATTGCTGTATTTTGTGACTTGGCTATAGAGAAAGATACGCTACATCTTCCCATACACAGGCTTTCCTTATGTACACACTCATTCCCAGTACTCTAAACCCAACTACAGGTTTAGTTTCCAGAAAACGAATCACCAGATCATTATCAAATAGCCTTTCCTAAGGAAATATCCAGCCCAAATTTTGCAGACACAAATAATGTAGATAATTTTTTGCAATGCACTTGGAACTTGGAGGTACATAAACCAGGCAGGAACTCTAAACTAATACCCCATTAATCTAAATCTTTTGCAGTTCTTCCATCACTAACTATTACCATCATAAACATCGAGTGAAAAAGCAAACCTCTGCAGAATGCCATTTTCATTCCTTCATTACTTTGCAACTCTCTCCTTCTAGCCACATGTACAAGC